TCTCTTATCGATGTTTCTAGCTCTCTATCCCTCTCCCTTCCTCTCTGTAAAAAAATCAATAAAATATATTAAAAAAAAAAAAAAAAAAAAAAAGACAGGAAGGTAAGACTCCAGCTAATTGCCCCTGCATTTCAGCCCACCTTACGGATCTGAGCAGTTGCCTTCCACTGTAACCTCTGCATGTCTCCCAGGTGGTCTGCAGACTGGGCTACTTTCGGAGGTTTACCCTCAGATAATGCCTCCACTCAGGTTCTGGCAGAAATTAGTCTCCTTTATGGGTATCCCATCCAAACCAGACATTCTTCCCACTGAAAAATAATGCGCGCTAATGAAGTTTGGACAATTCAGAGCGCTTCTCTCCCCCCACCCCCCACCCCTGCCTCCAGTGGCGACCAGAAGCAGATGGAGAAGGTGGTTCGTAGGCATCTGTTGGTTTAAAATGTCTGAGGGTCCTTTTCTCATAAGGGGCTAAAATGTCCATAAAAGGCTGCAAACGCACAAAGTCCCAACCTCCGAGTCCCCTCTTCCTCTAGTTTGGAAAGAGCTAAGAGGAGATTAGAACCAGGAATGTGTGCCCCCTCACCCCTGTCTCTGGTATCTAACCTGCCACAGCAAGAGCAAAGTCTGGCTTCTAAGTGGCTGACAACCACACAACTCTCCCAGGCACAGAGCCACTTCAGATTAGAGTGCATTGTATCCGGATCACAGAATGTACAGAGATGAAGATTTGAGATCTGTGCACATGAACTGCTGTCTGACCTTAGCTATGTGAGTATGTCTAATTCTCCCAGAACTGTGTCCTTAATAACTAAACAGAGATTAAAAAAAAAAAAAAAATACCTCTAAACAAGTGAAAATTCTAGCAAAAAAAAAAAAAAAAGTTTTAGTACCATTTTGTGTGATCACAATTATCAGCATGAGAAATTAGTTTACTGGTCTCCTTCTCTACAAACAAATAGTTACTTGAGGTAAAGCCCTGCTGGTTCACAAGGAATAATTAAATAATAATAACAGTTATTCTTTTCTAAGCAGGCAGTTATAATAATAGACTCGTATGTGCATAATCAAGTCTGGCAGAAGGTGGCAGACATTCCCAGTTTAAGTGCATACAATCCAGAGTCTTGATAACTTAATAAAAGTAAGTTGTACAGTGTTGATAGCAGGTTTGGGAAGGGTGATTTACCTGAATTAGAACAACTAGTAAGATTAGAATGTATATTAAAAACATTATGTTTCCTAGGAATGCAGATATCAACCAGAACACAATATGTAATGTCACTGTTTTACACAGAGACCTTTTATCAAATTCATATTTACGTTACCCACATGTGTAATTACTTCACTGCATGGTCCTTTATCTTGCCTGTAGGTGTAATAAATGAGGGTGACTCACACATCGAGGCTCAGACAGTGTAGCTGCTAAATTAAGTCCTGTGTAATGCCCATTTACACTTCATACATGCTCATCTCTGCTTTTAAATTCTGTTTGTCCAGATGTGACTGCTCGGCGGTGCGGCCACCTGCCGAGTCCCCCTTTGTGATCTGATCAGTCCAGGCAGCTCCTGTTTCTGCCTCTCACACCCTGTTGGGCAGTAATAAGATGTTAAAGGCAACAACAGAAAGAGAAGCCGGGCTGTCAGCTTCGGAGAGAAGGGGGGTGAAGAGGATGAGGAGGAGAGTTGAGGGGTGATCAAAGACAGGCGGGAAGAAAGCCAAACTGCAGAGAGAAGTGGCTGCAGGGGCTTGGGGTCCTTAAGGAAGACCTCAAGCCATGAGTTCAAACTGTGCCATCCAGGTACCTGGGCTATTGAGTGACTGCATGTCCCGTGTGGAGAAGGCAAGTATACATGAAAAATGTCCAATACTCAGGGTAGGTGCTGCATGAAACCTGGTCTCCTTTGTTCCCAGAACTTTATCTACCACCACTTTATTATCCCCCAATCCTAGAAGAAACCTGTGAGTGACCGACCAGTTGCTGTAGGGGGATGGCGGTGGTGTCTGGCATTTTCTTTTTTCTTTTTTCTTTTTTTCCTTTCTTTCTTTCTTTTTTTTTTTTTCCTTAGGGAAGAGAGACTCAAAAGCACACAGAGAAAATGCTAATGTCATTCAGCTACCTTTCATTGTCAGGAGGGACCTCTGAGGATGAAAACGCAGGTCTCCAAACCATTCTCCTCCCCCGCACCCGTCCCCCTCCCCCGCGTCCCCTTCTCCCCCCTCAGCACCACCATCCAGGCAGCCTTTTGGCTTGATGGGCCTCTGCGCTTTGTTCTAATTTAGCCCATGCATAATTTATTCACGTGTGCATTGTTTCTTGATCAGCAACTTTTAAAAACAAATGAAAAATAGATGTTTTATTATACAAGTTGTTAAAAAATAAAGGCAGATGGTGTAGGTCTCCCAAAAAAAACAACGTGCATGCTTCCGCCTTAGGAGGTTAAAAGCTCCAGCCGGAGGCTCGGCTGGCCTGGGGTATTGTTTACACCCTCTTACCCCCAGGGAAAGGGGCTGGGGTACAGAAAGGAGCAGCTAATTACAAAGGACCACTCCGCTCCCACCTAGGAAAAGCCGGCAGGAGCGTGGTGCGTATGCCAGTGTACGCGTGTATGGCGACTCGTAGCTACAAATACATCGCATTGCAACGGCTTCTAATGATAAAGTTCGAGTATAAAATTCATAACTAATTCCACTTTCCGCCCCCTCCCCCCCCCCCCGCCATTTCTAACCCTACATACACACCGTCCCCCGAACACGTACCCCTTCTACGGTCCAAAAGGTAAGGAAAAGAAAAGAAAAAACCCTGGAGCGAGCAGCGGAACCCTGGAGCGGTGAGACTCCGCGCCCGCCCGCGCGAAAGCGGGCGCCCGGGTAACCGGGGCACCGCCTTCCCAAAAGGAAACAAACCCGGTGCACATGCGAGATTTCTCTCAAAACTTGAATGTACTGGGTGGCATCCACCTGGTTATGGCATTTCGGCTAGAGACGGGTACGCTGCACATCAGCCCATAGGCTCGGCAGAAACTCAGAGCATCAGCGGTGTGGCCAGCGAGAGCCGCGAGGGGGGGGGGGGGGAGATGAGAGAGAGAGAGAGAGAGAGAGAGAGAGAGAGAGAGAGAGAGAGAGAGAGAGAGAGAGAGAGAGAGAGAGAGAGAGAGAGAGGGGGGGGGAATGTGGCGGCCAAGTTACGCCCATTGGTTCTGCCACAAAACATTTTCTTTCTTGGGCGCGAGCTGTGGCGTTCAAGCGCAGTGCTATCGGCGCTTCCCAGCCAGAACGGATGCCGGGAGCCGCTGTCCTCCGATCAGCCTCGGGTTCAAAAGACCTCTTAACAAGCAGCCCTCCCATGTGTGTGTATGTTTGTATTTGAAACTCCCAGACCTGGGGCATCCTTACCCCCTTTCCCCGTTACAGATGGGAGACGAGCTGGTACCAGCGCGTTTCCTTCTCCCCGAGCGTTCCTTCGCCATAGGAATCCCACTGCCGCCGCCACCCCACAGGGACACCCCCCACCACTCATCACCCCGGGTGCGAACCTGGATGTCACTCCAGGAGGAGCTTAGGGGTGCGGACGCCGCTGCGCGGGGCGGAATCTGGGGAGGAAGGGTGGAGGAGGGGGTATCCGCCACGCACCCCCGGGGATTCGGCACGAAACTCCCCCACGCACACCCGCACTCCCCCTCCCCTCGACCGCCGCTCCCAGGACAGCTGGGCAGAGCCGGTCCCCCCGCGCGGACCCCCGCCCACGGCGCGCGGTGACCCGGAGGGAGCGTCCCGCTGCCCACGTCCCCGCCAGGAGCGCCCCTTTCCGGGCGGCGCTCGTTCTCCGCAGCCACCTCCGGCCCCGCGATCGCGAGCGAGCGGACTTGGCGGCTTAGCAGCTCCACAGCCTGGAAGGAAGGGAGGAAGGAAGGAAGGAAGGAAGCCAGGATGAAAAGGCGGAGGAAGGAAGGCAGGAACTGGCTGCCGGGCGCGGGGACTGGCCCCCGCGTGCCCTCGTGCAGCCCGCCCCCTCCGTCCCGGATCCGGGCGTCCGCTCCAAGTCTGCCGGCGGCATAGGCACCTGCCCCTCGCTCCGGCCGCGAGCAAACACCGCCTCCCCGCCCGCCTCGGCTTTCCACCCGGAGGAGCAGGAGGAGGCGGCGAGAACACCATTCTTGAGACCGGCAGCTCCGCCGGCTTCCAAATCCGCCCCAAGTTAACCCGAGTCGTTCACGGACTACAGCCCGTTCACCCACAAACACACACACCCAGACACACAGACACACCGGCGGCCGCCCGGAGCGCCGCCGTCACGCTCCGGGGGCTGCCCCGGCAGCAAAGCTCCGAGCAAACCACCTGGGCCCCGGGGCTCCCGGGACCCGCTGCCCCCCCTGCGGTCCTCGCAACTCCGGGCGGTTTACACAAACTCTCCGCCCAGCGATCGGAAGGCGGAGAGCTGCTCCCTGCAAACTCCGAGCAGCCGCGGTCCGCTCCGCTCGCCCGGGCGGACGGAGTCGCCCGCCGGGCGGGGGGGGACCCGGGCTCCGGAGGTGCCTGAGCTCCGCCAAGTGCAGCGGGGCGGCCCCTGCCCCGCGCCCCCTCCCGCGAGGCCGCCCCCCGCGCCGCGCTCGCCGCCCCGCGAGGCCGGGCACTCGGGGGACCGTGTTGTCCCCGAGCCGCCCGCGACCCCCTGGCTGCAGAGCGCTCCAGCGCCGGGCTCCCCGCCGCTCTCCCTCCTCTCTCTCTCTCTCTCTCTCTCTCCCTCCCTCCGCCAATTAAGCAGAACACACATGTAACAATTTTCTTCTTGTTAATTGCATCTCCTGACGTTTCTGCTTGTTGGGGGGGGAAATTAAAAAAAAAAAGATGAAGAAGTAAAAGAGCTGAAAGAAAAGAGGGAAGCCCCGCCGCGGCGGCAGGCGCCCGCGAGCGCGGCGCCTCGGCAGCGCTCCGCACGCAGGAAGGCGCCTTTTTTTTCATATCGAAACCACGCGGAATATGTACATTTTTTTAGTCTTACTTACGCTTTCAGGGGGTTGTGAATGACAGTCGCCATTTTGCTACAATGTAACAGAATATTGTCTGTCTCAGAGTTCTAAAGGTTCGCTCAGGGGAAGCGGGGAGCCAATGGGAGCGCGGGATACCGGCCCGCCGGCCAATGGGCGCCGCCGGCCGCCAGGGGGGCGGGGCCTGCGCGGTGGTAGTTATTAGGGGAGCTGTCAAAGCCCAGAGGTCACTCCCTTTTGTAGAGCCCGAGAGCGAGCGGGTCTTAAAGGGGCCGTAACCGCGCGCGCGCGAGCTGCTCTTTCGGGTTGAGGAAAAGCGGAGACGCACGGGGAGAGGGGAGAGAATATTCCAGTTCGGTCTGAGTTTCTACTTTCTAGGCATCGGCACAGAGTTCGCGCATCCGGACAGAAAGGTGTATGTATTTTTTCAACAAACCACCGGAACTCCCCATTCATTAGGTTTTTGGCTTTTTTCTATGACGTGTTTAATCCCCCAAAGAGGGCAAATCCCTTGCTCCCCGTGCAAACGTTGGAAGATTGCCGTTGCATCTGACACATTAATACACGTGCCCAGCTGTTTGCCGTTTGCTCTGGGTCCCGCGGCTTCTTCACAGGCTCATTCCCGAAGTGCTTTCTTTATCTCAGTCACCTTCCTCCTTCTCTCTCTCTCTCTCTCTCTCTCTCTCTCTCTCTCTCTCTCTCTCTCTCTCTCTCTCTCTCTCTCTCTCTCTCTCTCTCTCGGTTTCTTGGAACTGCCGCGGCTGTTCCTGGAGATTCCAGGACCGCAACTCCCCTCCCTCCCTCCTGGAAAGTCTCAATGTCAGGCCGCTCCCTCTGGCAGCCGGGCTTCGGTTATGTAAGGAGCGGTGGTCACCCCGCGCGGCTCCCCCTCCGCGGCCACCTCTCCTGTCCTGCACACACACACCGGGGACTTCTGCAGGGACCAGGCTCCGGGCGCCTGGGGAAAATGGGGGGACCCGGCTCTCAGACCTGGCTTAGGTGTAGGGAAGGTTTAAGGAAGCTTTAGGGAACGTATTCTGCTACCTAGCTTTGGGGGGGTGGGCATAACCCCTTTCTGCAGAGTGGCACACGCGATTCTGGCGTGACTGTTAGATAGGAGGTGGAAAGGGTTTGCTAATGAATACTCTGATGGGACTGGAGGTGCCCAGTCTGTGTGGACTCCTTCCTGGAGAACCTCTGGCAAAATTGGGGAGATGTCTGTGAAGCCAGTCTTCCGCCAGGGAGCAGTCGGGAAGCTCCCGAGGTGGGTGAAATCGCACTGAATCCTGAATTAGAGGCCTCGTCAGCATACAGAAATCTGGCTGCCATCCCAAAGTTGTTGAATCAGGTCAAATAGCTAAGATAGTGGGGGAAGGGAAGAGGGGGGGAGAGGAGAGGCCAAATTGCCAGTTCTTCAAAGCTGTGCCCTCTCCCTTCCTTTCTCAGTGCTCCTCTCAAGGCAATGAATAAAAACCGAAACTTTTTTTTTTTTAAGTTCCAAAACTTTCAGAATCCAACTCATTACACTATTGGAGTTACAAATAAACAGAACAGGGCTGAATTCGGTATGTTTGTAAGACTTGGCCATTTTAACCCCTTCATTCATTCTACCCAGCTGATGGAGTCAACTTCTATAGGTTGCTTTGTACAGCACCTTGCAGTTTGAAAAGTTATCCTCTTTTCTAAAATTCCAGTTTGAAAAGTTTCTTTCTTATTGGTTCAAAAGTTAGTACTTTGGCCGAGTCCGGTTTGGCTCAATGGATAGAGCATCGGCTTGGGGATTGAAGGGTCCCGGGTTCGATTCTGGTCAAGGGCATGTACCTTGGTTGTGGGCACCTCCCCAGTAGAGGGTGTGCAAGAGGCAGCTAATCAATGGCTCTCATCGATGTTTCTAACTTGCTATCTCTCTCCCTTCCTCTCTGTACAAAATCAATAAAATATATTTTAAAAATAGTACTTTGCCTGGGATGTGCCCTGAAAACATGAAAATGCAAGCATTGTATTCTGATGCATGAAGCATGCGGCTGAAGTATCAGTCAGAACTCCCACGGCCTGTTTGAGATATCAGAATCGCAGCAATTCATAGTGGAAGGCAACAATGTATTTTAATATGTGCAGCCTTGATAAAGGAAGCATAAAATCTAGCCTGCCCTGAACAAGGCTAACGATTTAATAGGAGAGGGGGAATACATTTATATCACATATGAAAGCAAAATATACACCCTAAGCCTGTACAATCATGTATTGTGTTAAGGCCCAGAGACAGAGACCAGCATGATTTGTCACTATCAGGCACACTTGAAAATGGCAGGCCAGAGCTGTCTTTATTTTGAGAAATTTTAATCCAGAACTTAATCATTTGTTACATTTTATAATGATTGAATTGAGAAAATAATGACTTGGAAGCAGGATTTTTATAAGTAGGATAGGTCTTGCTTTTTAAAAATATATGTATATTTTTTAATTTCAGAGAGGAAGGGAGGAGAGAGATAGAAACATCAATGAGGAGAGAGAATCATTGATCGGCGGCCTCCTGGCTCATAGGTCAGGCATGTGTTCTGACCAGGAATCGAACCATGACCTCCTGGTTCATAGGTCATCACCCAGTCACTCTGTGAGGGGCTTAGTGTGCACCTCTCAAAAGGAGACAGGGAATTTGAACCATTTGGGGGGAATGTTAAATTTTACATTCATTTTGCAAGGAAGTGCTACATATGGTTAAAAGTATCCTGAGTCCCCCAATTACCAACTGAGTAATCTTAGACAAGTTTACTTAGCAACTTGAATGTTTCTTCATCCGAAAAATGGCAATAAAAGGACAGATGCACCCCTGAGTTCATAGCAGCATAATCTATAATAACTGAGATTTGGAAACAGCCTAAGTGCCCATCAACAGATGAGTGGATTAGAAATCTGTGGTACATCTACACAGTGGAATATTGTGCCGCTATAAAAAAGAAAGAACTCTCTTACCATTTCCAACAGCATGGATGGACCTGGAGAGCATTATGCTAAGTGAAATAAGCCAGTCAGAGAAGATAAATATCACATGATCTCACTCATTTGTTGGAATATAATGACCAACATAAACTGATGAACAGAAATAGATCCAGAGACAAAGAAGCATCCAACAGACCATCAAAATTCAGAGGGAAGGAGAGGGGTAAGGGGAAGGGAGATGAGAGATCAACCAAAGGACTTATATGCATGCATATAAGCATAACCAATGGGCACAGACACTAGGTGGGTGAGGGCATGTGCTGGGGGTTTGGGGGTGGCCAGGGAGAGTCAATAGAGGAAAAAGGAGACATATGTAATACTTTAAACAATCAAGAATTTAAAGAAAAAAAGAAAAGAGAAAAAGAAAAATGGCAATAAATCACAGAACCTATTTCATGTGACTCCAGGATTGAATGATGTAATACATGTCAAGTGTCTAAGTGTTGAATATCTGATAATTTTTTAATAAATATATTTCATACTTTCTTGTTGACATAAAAAATGTAGGGGATTTGAATAAAATGAGACATCAGAAAATGAAATTGTCATGCTTACATCACCAGCATTTATGCTACAATTAGAACAATACAGAGAAGATTATCATGGACTTGCCTGCCCAGGTGGCTCAGTTGGCTGGAGTGTTGTCCCATACACCAAAAGTTTGTGGGTTCAATTCCCAATCAGAGTACATACCTAAGTTTTGGGTTCAATCCCCAGTAGGAGCACACATGGGAGGCAACCAATTGATGTTTCTTCTCTCTCTCTCTCCTTCCCCTCTCCCTAAAAATCAATAAACATATCCTCAGATGAGGATATTTAAAATGCTTTAAAAATTATCATGACCCATGCACACAACAATGACACAAAAATTCATGAAATGTTCTGTATTTTTTATTAATCATTGATTTTTAAAATCTTCTACAAACTGATTTACAAACCATTTTTCTATTGAAACATGTTTTTAAATGACATTTACTCACAACTATTTTAAACCTGGATAACTTTATGTTGTCTTTCTAGCTTTTGTACCATTAAAACAATAAAGTGCTTTCTTTTACAATTGTGTATTTACTTTATTTGGTATTACCTAATTACAATTTTCAAAATAGAAAAGATAGAATGTCAAATTGTGCATTAGATTTCATTTATATACACTGAGTGGCCAGATTATTATGATCTTTGCATAATAATCTGGCCACTCAGTTATATATTAGAGTCCCAGTGCATGAATTTGTGCATGGGTGGGGTCCAGCCAGTCTGGTCAGGAAGAGGGGACATGGGGGGTTGGGGAAGGGACATGGCCTGCCTGCTAGTCAAACTCCTAGTGTTGGGAACAATTTGCATATTACCCTTTTATTATATAGGATATACACTGAGTGGCCAGATTATTATGCGTTTAGAGTTCATAATGATCTGGCCACTCAGTATATATATATGTTTGTATTTTTTTATTTTTTCAGAAAGGAAAAAAAAGGGAAAGAGATAAAAACATCAATGATGAAAGAAAATCATTGATTCGCTGCCTCCTGCATGGTTCCAACTGGGGATCAAGCCTGCAAACCAGGCATATACCCTAACCCGGAATCAGTGGCCTCCTAGTTCTTAGGGCAATGTTCAGTCACACCTGCCGGGATCCAGATGACTTTCTAAGGCACATAGAGTAAGAGAGAGATGTAAAGGAAGGAGATGCAGGCCTCACAAACAACCAGAGCTCATATAAAATAGGAAGTGTGCCAAAAAAAACATCCAACATAAACACAGTTCCTAGAGGACTCTGCAGGTTGAAGGAGTTTTAAGTCCTGTAGGTATTAAAAAATAAATAAATAAAATAAAAATAAATAAAATAAACAAGAACAACCCAGCCAATGTGGTCAGTGGTTGAGTGTTGACCTATAAATCAAGAGGTCAGGGTTCAATTCCTGGTCAGGGCACATGTCTGGGTTGTTGTCTCAATCCTTAGTGGTGAGTGTACAGGAGACTGCTGATCAATGATTCTCTCTCATCTTTTATGTTTCTATCTCTCTCTTCCTCTCCCTTTCTTTTTCTGAAA